AATCACGAAATAGGTAATTTCTGGAAATTACCTTTCTAAAATTGAATTACGAATTCTTTCAGACAATAGAGCAAAATGCGACAAATTCCAGCGACATTTTTGCATAAAGGCGCGAAAAGTAAGAGACTAGAGAAGAAAGTGAAAAGAACGAAAGAATACGGACTGTAAGGCAAGGAAGCAGCTGAAGGCCGAGAGGGAAAGAGAGAGGCACGAACCACTTGGCTCCATTCAAAGGGGGAATCACTGCCGCCGAGTCTGTGGGATACGGTGATGAGGTTATTCCGTCCTCCTTCCCTCAGGAAATGACGTCACATCTCGACGTAATAAACACAAATATAAGTGGTTCCTGTGCTGTGTTCCGACGGCAAAATAACGTAGGCCGACATGATCGAATCGCGTACGTCGGAAGAGGAAATTTGGAGAGGGTGTCGGCGCTCTTGGTGCTTCCACGAATAAATTAGCGACGACGTTTGCCTTCCAGCGTTCCAGCGCCTTCCCTACAAAGCCATAACATCGCGATCGATCGATGTCGTCTCCTCGCATTCGATTGATAAGAACATCGTGCTTACGTGTTGGCACGCAAAACGATTATATCCGAGTTTATGCACCTTTGAGTCTAGAATTCCAACGCCCTTGTCGAAATTAACTCGTGAAATTCGAATAACGATGCGACGAAGTAATTGCGTTAATAACACACGTATCGTAATTGAAATTACATCAATTTCTCGAGCGTAAGCTTCCATTCGTTGCAGCTAGGTACCCGTGAAAAACAACATCGCTCAAATTTATGGCTGTAATAAAAATTTAATCTATCAACCCAATGAGAGAACTATTAAGGATCTGAGACAGATTAAACCGAAGTAATTTGACGGTGCTCGAGGAACAAACGCGAAATAGGATTTCAAACAGAAGAAAGAATTAACGAGGGCATTTGTTTCGCGGATTTTGTGAGAACGCGATAAGTGACCAGCATACGATTGTCGACGACAATTTTCATCGCGAGCCTCGTAGAAACTCGTTTACGACGGCGTGCAGCTCCTTGGACCGCGAGACATCTTAAGAATCGTAGCCCGATTTCACGCGAGAACAATGCCGGGGCCACTTTCTTCCACTCGGTCTCTCTTTCTCTATTAAGTCGGCTCCGTGAAAACGCAGACTAATTTCTCGTCTCGCCCCGCGTCACGACGTTTCTGAAGAGTCCACGGCGGAGTGGCCCGCAACCGGGAGGGTTACGAGTCAGAAGGTTGAAGAGGCATTCGTACAAAGAGCAAAGGAGTGTGCAACAATTATAAACACCGTGGCAATTACGGTGGCATGGGTGCGTGCACTTCCTTCCAGGTCTTTCTCGCTCTCTTCCCTTCATTCTCGTCTTTCTCTCGAATTGCGCCAACCGCGGAAGAAACCGGTGCCTCTTCACCGCAACCGCACCACCCCAGCTGCTTTCACCGTACCACCTTTTACTCGCTTGTAATTGAGCTAGAATCATACAACGAAGAGAAGGAACTCGGCTAGAAACGAGTGGCTACTCGAACGCGTCACGTGTGCGATCTCGAGATGCTTTTCATTCTCCATTGCCAACTGCTTCGCGATTTCCAACCGTAGAATACCGAAAGTGCCATCGTCATACGTCATATGTAAAACGGTCTCGTTTCCTTATATGTGAAATCTAAGTTGACATACGAGAAACAATATAGCTTCGTGCTGTAGAAAAATACGTGTTACGTAGAGTTTAGAAAATATTACGTGATGATTTTTAATTATTTTTAACAACTTTTCATTAATTCGTTTGCATTATTTTGTTTACTACGTAGAAACGTATACCTCATAACTATTTTATGTTTAGGAATTTTCCATACATCGTTATGGTCCGTCAAAAACCTGAAGAGTTTAACACGTCCATTCACGTTCCTGTTGTTAGTGATCCAACAAAGTATTTTGAATAATATTTTTTTTTTTTGCAGATGAAACAATATCTTTTCTCTGCGCGAATGCGTTTACTGACATTTTGAAGCTGACATGGATCGCCAGATAGAGACAGATCACCGGATGCGGATAATCGTGTTCTGCGTTGATATGGAAGTTAATGGACAAGCCCGGGAAAACAAAACGCGCGACACCAAAAACAAATCGACGCTCGCTCCCCTGAGCTTCGTGAATCAAAGAGTATCGATGTTAACCAATCAAAATTTCAATGGATACTATTTTTCCCGCCAAATGATATCGGCTCAGGTGCCTGTACGTTGATTGAAACTATTCATTCATGAATCGCGTCAAGTGTCTCGAATATTTGAGAACACTTCTTTTCATGACAAGAAGCGCCAAAGAAAGTACTTGGTATTTATTGTATTTTACAGTGGATTAATATCGATCTATATTTCTTCGTTATCCGTTTAAATTGTTTCTCTATATTGTTTACGAAACATAACGTGACATATCGGGGACCAAGAAATTGCGTCACATTACATTCGCAAGATTGATTATTTATTCGTATAACAATATAATAGTATTATTATATTACATAAATCATATTGTTACGCTATTACTACCGTCGATTACTGTATCGACTATGTTTACTAATGGTGTTTGTTTGCAAAGCAACATTGGTTAATTATGTCAATTAATATGAAATTCTAGTCAATAGATAATATTGTAATACATATAACGATTGTTTACGCTAAACATTGCTCGTGTGTAAACTTTCCTAAACCGAAGGAATAGATATTATTACACGATATTACATATAATATAGAACAATAAATTGATACGATTTACAAATTTATCAAAGTTTAAAGATTTGCTTGAAAGCACACGTTAAGGTTTTAGTCAAGTTGTTTGAGTAGATACCAACATATCAACGGATTCAGTTTCAGCGATGAACAATATGACATTAAGTAGATTCGCTTTGTACAAATGCTCGTAAATCTTGAAAACGTCACGATATCGCGACTTCCGTTCAATCAGTGGTATGTTTACGAGCGTAGTCGCAGGATACTAGAATGCGCGACGCCTACGATACAGGATAATCCAGTACCTAAGACGTAAAACCTGTTTTCGAACGAATCATTTAACATTTAACTGTAGACATAGAAATCACCAGCTAGTTCAAAGCAAAGCAACTAATTGCAACGTGTGTTTCTACCATTTTCCATCTACCGATTTCCACCATCAAAACCTAGGACTATATATCTTACTGTGATACTTGGCTGGACATAATCAAATATTACAATAAATACTTCTACACTTTTTAAATTTATATCAGGATTTCAATTAATTTGTACAGATATGCATCGTAATTACTAAATCAGTCTAATTAATATTAGAGTACTCCATATACGAGCGAGAAGTAATAAATCATTTCGATAATTTCAAAAATATTCTATCTATAATTGTATACTTAATGTTTGGCAGAGAAATCTAGATGTTTGATTCATGCCAGATTTTCATCTCTTTACTTCCTTCGGAAAATGTGATTCGTTTGAACAAATTCTGACCAATGTCCGTTTAAAATTACACGGAGAAAGTGTAGAAAATGGAAATATTGACAGAGCCTTAGTGGCAGAAAAAGGTTTGTGGATTCCGGGTCGTTCTTATTCCCAAATGGGTTTCCTTCGACGTTTGTCGGATGAAAGGATTCCGTAGTGCGTAGTAATTTTTTGTACTTATTTTACCTGCAGGAAATTTTGGAAGCAAATAGTTCTCGAATGACATAGATATTTATCCCACAACGTTTCTTCAAAATATTTAAATCAAATTCAACTTATCCACAGTGGTCCTATATTTTAGAAAAAGTATCTGATCAACAAAAATTTGAACATTCCACTCTAAATAATATTTTATGTCTTACAATTAATATTACGATATTTTTCATTTAGCTTTCCGTGAAACTTATACCTAAAGATAATGCTTAAAAAGTAAACTGCCGGAATGGAAGCCTTTGACAGTAGTAACGCAATTTTTAAAATTAGACCGAAAGGTTGTCAAAGAAAAGAAAATAAAAACAAGTAAAAAAATGTATCGATAGCGTAGCATGAAACATGAAAGAAGATAGCGTTTAATAATATCGTTCTTTGCCATCTCGCGTTCCGCTGCAAAACATCGCGTTAATGCGGTCTCCTCTTTTTCCAAGCCTCCATCTTGCGCCTTCATCTCGTTTTCTTCCTACCCCGTCACGGAGAAAAGATCTCAACGTATTTCTCATATTTTATTCCTACAAGCTCGCTGCTTTTTATTGCGGTTCGACTGAACTGCGGTTCATGTTAGACCGAGCACCCCGCAGTTTCAGCCGTGCTTGCCAACCTTTGAAGGGTCTCGAAAAAATTCCAAAGATTACCAGAACGGAAAGAAATGCAAAGAAATTCGCGCATCACGACTGAAAATAATGACGAACAAGCCATTTCGTTTGTCCTACATTCTGATGTAGTTGCTCTTGCGAATAAAAGAAAAGAGCAGGGGAAAAGAGAAAGAACGAGGGAAAATTTGGACCGTGCACGATATTTGCCAAAACGCAAAAGATTACCTGTTTTTCCCCTGTTATCCTACGCAAGCGTAAATTCCGACATTTCCGCCGAGCCCGTAAATCCACGTTTTTCTTTAGCATCGGTGTAATATTTCTTTTGAAATCTCCGTACAACTCTCGTACAATACGCAATATGCGATACGAGAAAGTTCATCGAGTCTACTCGTTCTATACAAAACGCTTCCCTTTGAAATTGTAAAGGGAAAATAGCGAAGAGAAGGAATAAAAAGGTTGGAAATTCGAACAATGCGAAAATGAAATAAAAAGGACAAGATAAAGTAACAATATTATCTCGTTCGTCGCGATGCTACTGTAGAATTAACCAGACGATTCGCAAAAGTATTTAAATAGTTTTGTGATCTGTGCAAAATCTGTACTTGCGCTAAATGTCTCGTAGCTTCTACGTACATTTTTAGATTTGTTTCAAAATTTTCCGATATAATAATAACAATGATGGCCGAATGCCACTGAAATTTCGAAATGTTTCAATACTTTCATCACCTTGTTTAATCTTCCATTCTCGAATATCACACATCAAGAATATTCTTCGATTGCGTCGGATGATTTTAGAGTTTCTTTTTTCTTTAAGTTCAATTCTTTAAATGGAAATAAGCTTCTGAGAAGTTTAGGAAGTGAAAAACGAAAACCAGTTCCGACAACCAATGCGTTAACTTCACTTGGAACATAGATATAGTCTGAACCAGTCGTTAGAATTACCCTACGTAATATCTTTTCCTTGGGATAAAATTCCGAACATGTTGGCGAACATTGTCGGTGTGATCGCGGAGCACCCGTCATAAAAAAAGCTAATTTCGCCCGAAACATTTGTCACGTTTTTACACGAAGCAGGAGGAATAAGTAATTATTTGCGCGTGACACTCTATCGATATTAAAAATGTGTATATTTCGCTCGATATTAAAAATGCGAAACGAATACGTATAAACAACTTATTTAAAAGCGCGAACTTGGAAGGATCAAAAAGGAGAACGTATTGGCTCGAACATATCGACTAATTATAAGAGTCTCCAAGTACCTGGATGCTCTATTAGTAAAGCTATTACTGCCAACCGATCTCCTTTGGTAAAGCTCGAAGAAGCTAATGGAAACTGCCATCCTGAAAATACAATTTTCAGACAATCTGGTTTCCTAGCGGACGGACGGCAATCAGGCACCACTTAAGCCCTCGTCGTTCGTTTTATGATCCCGCAACAAGTATACCGAAGATAGGAAAATTAAACGATCTCTGAAAATGTCCGTAACTGCAATGTTTATGATGTATTTATTTATACGCACCCCGATTCAAATTCCTCAATGTGTATATACTGGCGAGAACCGTGGTCAGAATGCGATAGAGATCGATGTGCTTAGTTAAATATCTTTTTCGCGGAAAATGATCCATTAAAATATATATGATACGTAATAATTTTATAGATGTGTAAATCTCTCGTTATTAGAGTTATTATAATTTTATAATAAATCTCCGACTTGTTTACAAGTGCAAATCCTATATACGTAAAGGTACGCTTGATATTATGGAGAAATTCAAATAGGTTTTCGATTGATTGAATTTTAAATTGCGATGTTAATAGAATTTAATCGAATATCCGATTTAATAATTATTTACTTTAAAGAAACATTTCGTTCGATAAATCTTATTTAAATACGTATTCCGCTGAGCATTAATACGAGTTTTAGACATTTTAAACAGGTAAAAATTATATCAGATGTAACAAGCTGTGTTAATATTTGGAAACACACGGATTTTCTATTAAAATTTTACTTTCCAAATTATATATTTCCTCTCTTATACCATGTTTCCTCCGATCTTCTCATGTAATGATCGTCGTAAAATTTTTGTCGATCAAACGACAAGTTCTTACTCGAAGTAACATGGGGTGCACGAGACCAAAAAGGTTTATTAGCATGTACCTATCTGATGGACGTATTCCGAACAAGAGCAATAGTGGTCTAGACTGGTACATGGCTTTCATCAATGAAATCAAGTTAGTAGTATCTAGAGAGGTTTCCGGAGAGACAGGAAGGTGTAATGAGAGTAGTTTAGTGCTTAATCGGGGTTTCTCGAGCGGCTTCTCGAACTACTCCAATTAACTTCGCGCCAAGCCCGATTGCCGCTAGATTCAAGGGTAAATCCGCATGATATTGATTAAATTTAGAATGAGCTATGAAGGAAGTGCTCTAAAGTTTTCTTTAATACCGGTATCCGAAGTGTCGTTTGGATAATTAATCAGCGTGATATCAACGAAGGGCGAACTTCGCGACTTCGATTTAGTTCAACTTGGTGTCTGTGGTTTAAGCGGTATCAATGAATGAAAGCAGATTAATTCAAGTAAAATTGAATCTATGAATTGAAAATTATACCGAGTTCGGTAATGTGCGGTATTTGCGATTAAACGTGCCGTTAACGACGTGTAAACTATTAATTAACTTCACTGCCGTTTATATGTACATTACCGGACTCCGCTGCCGAGCGAAAGTTATTTCCAATGCCGAATATGAAGGTAACGAATAAATCAAAATTATTTATTAGGTAGTTCCTATTCAGATTTTCAGATAAAAGATTCTCGATAAAGAATTTTGTATTCCGATAATATTTCCATGCTTATCGACATTTTTCGTCTTTTCCGCATTCGTTCTCCATAATTCCACTATCTCTTCTTCATATTTCTTTTCCGGTTTCGAACAATTCTCGCGCGTTCCTATGTCACACAAGTACTAACAATAAAACGTCTACGAGATAATCTAAGGGTCCAACAGGTAAGAATTTTTCCTAAGCGAGAGGAAAATGTTTATCTGCATTATCTTCGAGCGTAGGTGGGCAGCTCTTCGCGTTCCAACTTATAACTACCAAAAGGTTTGTTGTTGTGTATATTGTTTACGGCCATGTGCGCGTACACGCGAGAGTTTCGTGCTCCGGACACGTATCGCCCGTATCGAGACAGGACAAGGGCTAAAACAGGATTGGGCGGTGGATGTAGCTGGCTGTTGTAACTATCGTCGTTCAGAACCCCGCTCAGGAAGTGATCGAGGGTTTTGATGGCCGTCGTTATGTCTTGCGAATTACGATGGGGATTCGTTGTCTGAGCCTTCCCACGATAGGGCAATCCTGCATGATCCGAATCGTCCGTTAAGTACTCGTCGAGTTTTTCTACAACTTGATACGACGATCGCCGTGGAACGTGCGGATGATATTCGACCTCGGCCAGCAGCCTTGTTCCGTTGCTTGACCTCGATGATTTACCTGCCCTCGTTATCGCTTTTGTTCCAGAACTTCCCTCTTCGTTCGTTGATCTTAAAATGCAAATATTCGACGCGTTATCGAGGGTCGACATAGGGCGTATCTCGATTATCACCAGTGATTTATGATAATATCAACCCCTTGCGTTCTAATATCGAGTTACACTCGTGGCGCGGCTTATGGTCCTAATTTAACAGTGACAGGTTCTATTCGTGACAGAATCCGCTTTCAACTGTAATTTTACCTTCGATTCCTCGATTCCGTAAAAATCACGAAATACAAATTATTAATTGTACAAACGTTCGTTTGACCTCCTGCGTAGATATCCACGTGTATTTTAAATATCCGTTTCATTTCTACAGATTATCATTTTAATTATCATTTGATCTATCTTTTCCTTGTAATTACCTAGTAGAAAGCGAACAAACGAAAACTAAATGAACCACGATCGAATATTAAACAAACGGGAACGTCTCTCCGGCAATTTCGATATTGCAAATAATTGCGAACGAGTCTAACGAAAGGAATAGCAAGTTTATTATAACGGTAGAACACTAGATACGCTTTTAAATTGTACACTTCAAAAGTGTATTCTTACCTTTGCTTATCATTGATTGATTTCATCGTCTGATCTTTGAATGGTAACTTGAGATCGATCAATAGAGGTTTCAGGTATGAATACCCAGCCTGTATTTGTCTTTCGGTGAAACCTCTACCTGGAGCCCCGACATCTTCTAACCCATTGTCCAAAGCTTGTTTGGCGAAAACAACATGTTGAGGAAGTTTTGGAAACACAACGTTCGTACTTGGAAGATAACTAAAGGCTGGTGGCTGTAAATTTGTTACTGGTTGGATATCCCGAGATACTTCTGTTGTCAATGCACCACTGGTTGAACAGGCAAGCGCTACCTAAATTCGACAGTTTTCAGTTTTCATTCAATTATTATCATGCCACTTTTTACGTCTCTACGTTTTTCGAAATAGTACCGTCACCGTGTTCGTGTTTGAATAGCGAATTAAACCGATGAAAGTTAATGTTTGTCGCAACTTTAATGTTATCGTTTAAAAATTACATTTTGTCAGGCGCGTTTTAAAAACAAACATAAAATATAAATCTATTTAATATAAAAAGTGAATGAAATATTAGTAGGCAATTAATTCACTTATTCCGAACTTGATGTGTATATTACGTTTGTAACTGTTATCAAATTAATTAAATATCAATTTCTAACCTATCGTTTCAGTATTGATTTTATTGTATATATACGATCTGATTCGATGATCTTCCTCGAGACGTGAACGATATTAAAGTTACATAAAGTTTTACCAAATTGAAAGAGTATGAAAAAAAAGAGTACAATTTTACCAAGTAAAAAGCAAGAATATCTGCGACACTGACTAACATTCTGGAGGGTTTTTGAAGGAACTAAAACGGCAGTACGCACTGAGAGTGCTTTTTATATCCTATAGCACCACCTGCCTTAAGAGCGAAGTCTTGTCCGTCGCAGGAAATGTATACACCGTGTAAGTACGTATCTATTTACATACTAAAAGATTTTTCGACTTTCTCCTCTTTTTTTATTGGTGAAATCTCTAATTGCCCTTCATTACGATTCTGCACGCGATCTTTTGAATCATGCCCAGCCATTGTGTGTATATACAATATCAGACAATATTTTTTGTGAGAGATATTACATATATATGCAAAGGTGGATACATATATATCCACTACTGGTGGATACATCGACATCTGAGAAATCCTAGGTATTACAAATTTTATACCTTTATACTATATTTTTGTTGTGCAGAATTCTTTTTTCTCAATAAGGTATACGTACTACGTACAGAGTATCAAAAAGTAATGAATGATATGTTATATTCATTCTTATTGTATATGATGTAACGTTATTATATCATACCTTTAATTAAAGATATTTTTTCGGTATTACAAAGAATATTCAGTTTTTTCATTATTTATACAGTGACAACAGAACAAAATATTATTTGTCATTACAGTCATAATGCGTAAAAATAATAATAACATAACGACATTATAATAGAACAAAAAAGATGAAAGAAACCTGAAGATACTCGTATAAGCGATATAGGAGCACAGAGTATAGGGACATTGTTTATTCTCATAGTATCATAGAGGGCGCTGTATGACGGTTCCAACTCTTCGTGTCGGTAATTTTGCTAGGGAAAATTCTAAAAATCGAAGGGAGTCATGGCAGTAATAGGTATTTCATTCGTTAACTTTGGCAATTTTATATCTGTTCACTGTTATCAGAAATATATAATTAAGATTAGAATAATAATATTCTTTATATATTAATATATTGGACATGTGAACATTGTACAAAAGAATAAAATTTATTTTCGTTTATTTTTATATTTCTTATTGCACGCAAGGGATGCCAATTTTGAAAACGCGCCTAAACTTAATTCCCGCCAAACTGTTCTCGCGCGTTGTTTCATTACTGAACGCCGCGCCAAAATATTGTTGTGATAAGTAATTATTAATTATTTTGAAGAATGGATGTGGGAGATACGCAAAATATTCGCTCACGTGTACCTGATGAAGTTGGGATCAAATGTCAAAAGCTGTTCCAGGACTTTTTAGAAGAGTAAAATTTTTACATTTCATTTAAAGACAGTCGATACCTCAAACTTGTCTTTTAAATCATATTTTCTTATTTTATTAATTAGCTTTAAGGAACATGGAACTGTAAAATACCTTGAACCAGCCAAAGAACTTGTAAGTCCAGAACATAGTACGTTAGAAGTGACTTTTGACGATGTGGATGAATATAATCAAGTGTTGTCAACAACCATTGTTGAAGAATATTTTAGGTGAGATTTTAGCATGTTCTTTTTGTCACGACACTAGTTTAATCGTTTGTTTTTATTTAATAAATTGTAATCTTTTGTTATAGAGTTTATCCATACCTATGCCAAGCAGTCTGTAATTATGTCAAGGATGTTGCAGATTTGAGGAAGGAAAAGGAATGTTATGTGAGTTTTGTGGAAGTTCCGATACGACAAAAATTAAGAGAACTAAATGCCTCGAAACTTGGTACATTAATACGTATATCTGGTCAAGTAATAAGAACGCATCCTGTTCATCCAGAGTTGGTGCTAGGTACATTTCTTTGTATGGACTGTAATGCTGTAATAAAAAATGTAGAACAACAATTTAAGGTATAATGCAGATGACCTCATTGATATGAATATGTTTGTAATGAAATTATTGCAATTTGGGTAATTATTTACAGTTCTGCAATCCAACAATTTGTCATAATCCAGTATGTAATAATAGGAGGCGTTTCCTGCTAGACGTAGATAATTCCATATTTGTTGATTTCCAAAAAATCAGAGTACAAGAGACACAAGCAGAACTTCCTAGAGGCTGCATTCCACGCTCGCTTGAAATTATTTTACGAGCAGAAGCTGTAGAAACTATTCAACCTGGTGACAGGTATTTTATCACATACCTATATAATATTATATTAAAATTAGTTATATAGCTTCGTTCACTTTTTCTAAGTTCTAATAAATCTTATTTGTACATTTCTAGGTACGACTTTACAGGAACTATGATAGTAGTACCGGATGTATCGGTTCTTTCACTTAGTGGTGCAAAAGCTGATCTTAAAGCAGCACGTCGAAAACCTACTGAACAAGGGGAAGGAATAACAGGATTGAAAGCTCTAGGAACACGTGAATTAACGTATAAAACAGCATTTCTAGCTTGCAGTGTTACTCCAACAAGTTTTAGGGTATAACAAATTAGTTACATATTGTGCCATGTGTACATATACATGTACATTACATGTAATAATATAGTAATGCGTATATATATGTACAAATATTTTATACGATTAATATTTTTCTAGTTTGGTGGTACCGAAACAAATATGGAAGAAATTTCTCAAGAAATGATGAAAAAGCGAATGTCAGAAGCAGAATGGAATCGTATATATGAAATGAGTCGTGATAAGAATCTATATGAAAATCTTGTACAAAGTTTATTTTCCGCTATACACGGTAACGATGAAGTTAAAAAAGGAATTACTCTAATGTTGTTTGGTGGTGTGCCGAAAACAACGTTAGAGGGTACCTCGTTACGAGGGGATATAAACTGTTGTCTTGTTGGTGATCCTAGTACAGCGAAATCTCAATTTCTAAAAAGTGTTGCTGACATCAGCCCAAGATCGATTTACACTTCGGGAAAGGCGTCTTCCGCAGCTGGATTAACTGCTGCTGTAGTAAGAGACGAAGAGTCGCCTGATTTTGTTATTGAAGCTGGTGCTTTGATGCTTGCTGATCAAGGTATTTGTTGTATCGATGAATTTGATAAAATGGATATTAGGGACCAAGTGGCTATACACGAAGCCATGGAGCAACAAACTATTTCACTAGCTAAGGTTTGTTGATGTCGAATGATAATTGATATTAAACTTTTCTAGTATATGCATATTAGCATTAATAAAATATATATATTTTTAGGCTGGTGTAAGAGCAACTTTGAATGCCCGAACATCGATATTAGCGGCAGCAAATCCCGTTGGTGGACGGTATGATAGGAAAAAGTCATTACAACAAAATGTTCAATTAACGGCTCCAATTATGTCCAGATTTGACTTATTCTTTATTATAGTTGATGAATGCAATGAAATTGTTGATAATGCAATCGCTAAAAGAATTATTGATTTACATTGCGATAATTGGCAAGGTTTTGATACAGTATATTCGCAATCAGAGATCGCTAGATATATTAATTTTGCCAAACATTTTAAACCTATGTTAAATCAGGTATTGTTATACCGCTTTAAATATAAATTCATTATTTGAATTATTTGGATTAATTTCCTTTCTCAATTTTAGGAAGCGGCGGAATCTTTAGTTGATAGTTATACTACGCTTAGACAAAAAACTGGTGGTGGCTCCGGCAAATGGAGAGTTACCGTTAGAAAATTAGAAAGCCTTATTAGATTATCAGAAGCCATGGCTAAATTAGAATGCTCAGATGAAGTTACTATAAAACATGTTTCGGAAGCAAAACGTTTATTAAGTAAAAGTATCGTTACCGTAGAACAACCGGATATAGATTTAGAAAAAGCCGAAGATGATGGAATGGATGTCGATATGAACGATGCTCCACCTATCATGGAGGCTCTCAACGCATTGGATCACGATATGGAAGCAGAAACTCCTACACGTAAATTATATCACTTATATACACTAAAATGTCTATATGAATGTCTATGTGTAGTAGTTAGTCTTATACATCCCTCTTTTTTTCTTTACATTATATTTATAGAACACAAGAAGAAACTAACAATGTCCTTTGAAGAGTATAAAAATTTATCTAATATGTTAGTGTTGTACATGAGAAATGAAGAAACTCGTGCTGAAAGTGAAACTGTTGCTACAGGTATATTGTGTCTGAAATTATTATTTATATAAATATTTATTTTCTAATTTTCTCTATTCTGCAGGGGACACTAAAGGTGGATTAAGGAAATCGGAACTGGTGGCATGGTATCTTGATCAAATACAGGATCAAATAGATTCAGAAGAAGAGTTGTTGGAAAGAAAAAATTTTATTGAAAAGATTGTTGATAGGTTAACATATCATGTACGTAAAAAAGTAGTTATTTAAAATTATTCGAATTTTATTATTAATGATTCATTTTTTAATTTCTTTTGTTGATTGTATTTCAGGATCAAATTATAATACCTTTAACCACAAGGGATGAAAAAGACGAAGAAAATGATCCTTTACTTGTTGTGCATCCTAATTATATTATTGATGCTTAAACTTTTTTAATACAAAAGTATTGTTAAGAACTAATTACACAACTGTTGATAAAGTAATGGTAAATAGAGGTAAACATTGGAATTTATTTCCACATGTGAATAATACAATTTATTTCACATTGTGGATGGTACAAGATTAAAGCATTTTTATGAAAATATTTTTTACTTATTTCATGCAATCAAATCAAAATGTACCTCTACTTGCCTCAATTCATTGAAAATACCGGATTTTACAATTCAAAATCGAAAACACGCACCATTATATTTTTTTCCATATTTTAAATTAAAAATAAATATTTATATTAATATACAGTGTACTTGTTCCATTGACTGTTTATTTAACTACTACTAAAATTATTACATTATTAACAGTTTAACATAAATACGTTAATAAGGTAGTGCTAACCGTGTTAATTGTTATGTAGATTGCTATGTTAATTATGTACTCCACATGCTCTTATAAAGTAACTAAGCTCGTTTGAAGTAAAGATACATGAAAGCAATGTTTAAAACGAGTAAGCACGTGGAAGTAAGAAAAAAGTAACAAGGAAAGTTCAACAATATTTTGTATTTAAAAATAATTTTGAATTGATATCTTTATTTCAATGATTAATACTCACTTATTAATTAATACTAATACATATTAATTTATAACGTGGAATAAATAGTTCTTTTAGAAATTTGAAACATTCACGATCTCGTATCACACAATTTTCGTAGAAGAAATATCAAACATCGAATGACACACAGATGCACATTGCTCTTTATCATCGACATATCTCACAAATGGTGGGGGAATTTGCACAGCGTGGTTAAAAGGATATACTTTTAAAATGGAATTGTAGTGTTTTACGTGAGTCTATCATAGAATGAGCGCGAGAGAACGATTAAAAGGATCTACGCGCCATGTGAGTACTGAAAGATAAATAAAAAGATATGAGTATGAGATATTTTTCGTATGTCATAAAGTGTGAATTAATCATAAAACTAGATGAAATCAGAATTAAGCACTAGGTGTATTTCAAGTTTTATCATATTTTAGTATTGAGTATATACATATGTAGCACCTAAAATAAAAATTTTTTTTTGTATTAACATGACATTTCTCAATATAATTCATATATAGGACTATTCTCGGGCCGTTTTTACTGGAACATTCACCGAGTGGCAAGAATTTTTGTTAGAAAAGGAAAGCGTTTTTTGGAGCATAGTACGCTTATTTGATTATTTATTACGAGGTTTCAGTCAAGTAAGCGGCTAATATATCTTTTATAAATAACGTATAGATAACGAAAATGTTCATAGATACAAATTTATTTATTATGTTATGTTATTTTTAGTTAACATTAGTTATTTAAAATCTTAGATTTATAAATATAAGGATCGTCTACAAGATTTTCAAAACGATATGCACATACACAAATTGATATTTAAATCGATTGAAAGATACTCATATTCAGCTTATATAAATTTACAGGTTGTATTTGCAAATAATCCAATTAGTGGATTATTGATAACGATTTCTTTAGGAGTTAATGCACCAGGTACGTTACTCCTCTCAGCAATCACTGGTTCCCTAGGTCTTCTATTATCTGTGGTACGTAATTGTTACATCAAATATTTAAAAAATGATATTTTGTTAATTATTTTTTACTTCGAAGACTTAGAACTATGTACTTCCTAAGTATTCATTAAATATATACCAATATATATATATCCTTAGTATATATTTGACGCGAATAAATAATGCCTAATTGCATTGTTGATTTACGTGACGTATGAATCGATTATTCATGCTTCTGTAATTATTATTCGTTTGATCATCCCATGGTACCGTGTTGTTTCACAAAAAGTAAACAAAATGACTGCAATGCGGAATTTTTTGCGAGGATTAATACGATCGCGTCGCGATACCATTTGCGGAGCTTTTTCGTTGATACGCTATGTGAGAAAATTCGCATATTACGTTTTGAAAAGCATATATTTCATTCGCAGCTGATACGAGATTCACAGGAAAATATCGCAAATGGGTTAACAGTGTTCAATCCATTATTAGTTGGCGCGATATCGTCTAGTTTAATACCAAATATCTATGGACCATTCGATGATTTCAGTCTACTACTGATTATTCTGGGAACGATCTTTAGGCAAGTTTCAATAAATTGATGAATGTCTGCTTATAAGTTTACTTTTTTATTATAAAACGTTTGCTGTAACGCGCAGTATTAGCATTTTAGTAATTCTTACGAATATAAGATAACTTTATGTTGAGTTTTATGATATCGTTGTAAATGTAAAGTGACGAGTGTGACGTATGAAGTATTCAAACAAAGCTCGACAATCAATTCTTTTATGATTTTTAGAGAATCGTTTATTTTTCACCTGATAATAGAGTAGAATGATATGTAAAATTTTCGATAAAATTTCAAATCTTACAGATTTACTTAAATTTAATATTAAAAAAAGAAGTTCATTTAATCTTTTTAATAGATGTTACTTTACCATTACAAAAATATTCAACAGTATATTATATTACAACGTAGATTAAATTTAAACAACTGTGATAATTATAGAACGCTTTTAACTAATTTTATTGGTAATTAACGATTAATGTTTACAGCGTTTACTTGACCCGCTCTTTCAAAAACAATAAGTTACCATTCATAGCATGGCCGTTTAATCTGGCTGAATTTGCGTTGCTCTTGGTCCTTTATGCCAAAGACAATGGACTTGATACGTCGGAGGAACTGCAACCAGTTACGAGAATGGTAATAGATTTTGTTGTGAGCATTCAATTTTCGTATTGTTGCGGAATGCGATTCTTTAAATATTACATAGACAAACACTCGGTTTTTCGGTACAAGTAGTCCAGATTTTTAGAGACTTTAAAAGTTCTGTTAATATCATCGTAATATAATCGTAAACTTTTATTTATTTGCTATAAATTTGTGTTCTTATATTAAAAGTCATAAAATTATTATTTATCGTAGATGTAAGATTTATGGTACACAACACATATCGACAAAAACATATAACCAATTCAAAAATATTCTTTTTCATAGTAAATCCAAGGTTATCATGAATTCTTGAAACAGAATCATGTAATTTTTTCCCATTTTACGATCTAATTATTTATTAGATCTCATGATATGACTTATAATGTTAAATGTGAAGTTACTCTCTATTTTGTTTCGAGTGCTGAACTGGAGACGTTCTTCTATTTATGTTCTATGTAAAAAGTATGAAAACTATCTGTCGTAAAGATATCGTTTGATAACGCAACGTACTCGTAAGTTTATGAAGATTTATGTATTTTGATACGCACGCCTACACGTACACTGCTACGAAATTGTTGTCATTATGCCACGTAGTGCCGTATACACGTATATTACACATTCATCAGCGATATCCGAATGTAACATTAAAATCTTCTCAACATATTTACGTTCCAAAAAGCAACAAGTTAAGCTAATGAAACGATACCTCGAAATACTTCAATTTTGCCTATTAACACTTTCGAAGTTATTAATATTTGTAGAAAATATTCAATCGTTTATATGTTTCACGTTTATACGTTTATACGTGTTATGTGTTTTATTCCATGTAATACCCTTGACTACGTGATCGCATTTTTGATTAAAGTTTCATAGAATCGGTACAATCGGTTTTTATCGTTATATCACATCAACGCGAACAGTAGCGAGTAACATTTGAGTGTTACATAATCGATCGATGACAGATGAAAGCGATAATTTCAAGTTTAGTTATGCCAGCAACGTTGTCCAACTTAAGTTGCGATGCTTAAAAGCCTCTTCCACTCCGCTAGCCGTCGTGTGGCACGCACACGATCAATACAAACTTCTTACCTATTGTTGTTTGTCTCTAGAGCGAGATAGGAAAAGATGAAAATCATCTCAGATTCGTCGATCGTTTTCTTTAGACGAATATCGCATTAAATTTGTATTTCTTCGTCATTTTAGTAAAATTTTAGTAAAATATATAGAGGAAGTAAAAAATTTACGTAATGTAAGATTACATGTGCATATAAGCTACATAAACTACGAGGACCAAAGACAACATCGAGTTGCAAATACAAAAGTTTGAATGATTTAGAGGGTATAATCAACTTAACGGATTACGAATGGAGAAAACTTATTTCCTAGCTTATTATTGTCACGCGTTCTTCTTTTAGATATGGAATGAAATAAATTCGTCATAGAAGGGAGTTCTATCGATTTTTTATTCAAAGATATTTTTGTCCTGAGTTTTCTTTCGGGCGTGGATATCAATGGACGAACTAGCCCAGTTTTGAGCACAGGGTTATATGTACTCGAACAAAGATATCGTGTATACGTATACGTGTTATATGTGTCGCGAGTACATACACGATCAGTTGTTTATACAGTACATTCTTATTGTTTCCAGGACAATGCAACAAGTGATGCGACGACAGGCAATATCAGTTTCATCGGAGAAAATGCGACAGGGATACACATTGACTGGGGGATGGTAAAGTTTGCTCCACTTTTCACAATTCAATCATGTGTCACATCGTTGAAAGTATTAGACATTTTTGGATACTCGAATATCTTGGGATCCTAAGCAACATCTTGCATTATTTTGTTTCGTTAAACTATATCATGAATGTTTTAAATGCCATAATACATTATATAGTTATCGATATCATTAACTGTAAGAAAGACATTTTTTAACGAAATTGGGTCAATTTCTTTGTGTGCATCCTGTACATTTTTCAGATGTTTCATGGCGTTGTAGTGTCAGCGTCGCAGGTGTTAGCAGTTGAAAGCGTTATTATGGGTGCTGTGGTTTATTTAGCTTGTCTACTTTGTTCTCCGATAACGGCTGGCTTTGCTTTTTTGGGTGCACTCATCGGTTCATTGGCGGGTATTATACTATTTTTGTGTATGAACCTTGAATTTATCGAGCGTGAGATCGAGTCAACGTAGCTTGCAAATGTTATTGAGACAAAGATATTAGTATTTTCTATTTTTCTGTCATAGTTTCTTGTTGTTCGTAGGTTTAATGCTTGGGATACAAGTCGATGAAATTTATGCCGGCTTGTGGGGTTACAACACTTTTCTGACGGGAGCTTCGTTAGGAACTTTATTTGCGTTTAGCGGACAAACAGCTGTAGCTGTGATCGTAGCGATCGTATACACCGTGATCGTGCAGTATGGCGTATTGTTCTTCTTTAGAGATGTAATTAAATCAATATTTTTATTTTTTACGAAATAGATTTCTGTCCCTGTTAATCAATATCTTAAAAAGACGATATCGATCGTAGTAAAATCTGAGTTTTAAAAGATAAAGGTTTGAGCGAATCTAATATGTTATATGTATATGTATACATAACTTAAGAATCAAAACGAAGAATTAAATAATTTTATGTACAGCTGAAATTGCCGATACTGTCGTTACCGTTCATTCTGGTGGCTTCTTTGTTTCTGCAATTAAGGAACGACTCAGAAGATAAAACTTTTCTGCAACCCCCGCCTATTTCTGCCCCACAGGAACAACGTCGGGATTGTCTTGCCAACCAACAGCTTATTCAGCAAGTATGAATTTGTATTATTTCCTTCCTTTTCACTTGAAAAAATTGTATTTGCTTAATAATATTTCGATGTTTTGCAATTTACTTTCATGGGCGTTATTTTTCTGTAAAATCCATGTGCCTGCGTTTGATACAGAGTCCATAAAAAAAATTTTAATATCATAGCTACGGAATTTTTTTAGCGCCTAGAACTTTTAGAAACAAAGAACACGTTCATTGTTATTTCTAGTATATTTCATATACTAGAATACAATCGATTACAGTCGGAGAAAGTTTGATATGCGTTATGATGAGACTATCGTCATGGGAACTCTAGAAATCGATTTCTGCTCTAGCCGAGGTTAACCTGCTTTTATACGATTCCAAGGAGTCGCATATGGTGAATGTGGTTTCGTTATACAAAGGTTATCGGCAAAAGCACTCGGCGACACGCTCGCCTTTTACTTTATTTGAAAGCCGGAAAGAATAATCCTTGCCAGTATAAATAAAGTACCGATAAAAACAAAAGTAAATGATTTTGTAGTTCGCGTATTTATTTATTTATATATTGCACTTTCTATTTCAACTAAAATATCGGATTAGAAAGTTATACAGTTATCAGAAAAAATAAAGTACCGTGTATTCTTTTAGGTTTTAACGTATTGTTTTTTTCTTTTCTTTTAGATAAATGACGCAGAAAATATCGGAAACGGTGCTAAAGATCGAAAAAATATATCAACACTTGACGTTTAATGATAAAATAAGCATAATGCGATATTTTTATTTGCACGTTTCATACGAAAGTTTTATAGAAATTTGAATTCAATGTCCTATATCTGCTTTCACTCGCTATTTCTTCTCTCATAAGAAATACATTGGATTGCTACAACGAATTTTTAACGAAAGCATTCAAGAATCTACAAGTCGATCAATAAAATTACTTGGCTGCTTTTTTTAGCTTACGACGTGGAGCCCGTGTCGTAAATTCGACGGAGAATTTTCATTTGTCCTGCATAACGACTACTGCGTCTGTTCTTTTATCGCGTTAACTACGTACTTTATGTATATAAGACATTCGGATTTGTGACACGATTCCTTAGAAAATATGAAAAAAATACTTTCAAGTTTTCTCTTGTATATGATGAATCGATAACAATTTTCATGAATAGAGACCAAATGCGAAGATACGAATAGAGAAACAACGTGACGCTGCTTCATTAAAAATAAATTTTGCGAATATCTTCTTTCTTTCCTTATGAATCTATCGAGGATAGACCGCAGTCAAAAGAATTTTGACTCGTCGCAATAATTTTGTAAATATTTTAATTGCAATAATAAAATGTCTATAGTACTGGGTGCTATTAACTATGAACATTTATATTTTAATTATTCTTCTAATATTTCAATATGCTACGGAAAGAACAAAGAGGGTAGATATATGATATTCGACAGTGTCCTACAACTTCTACCACTCTATTTCTACATCTAACAATCCTGGCATAATCTCATCCTGTGTTCTAGTGCTTTTCATCGACGCTACTATTGTAATATACGATAGTTGTTTCATACTTTGTAATATACGTAACTACATACATATTCATGTAATTTGCCAGCAGGAATATATCGAATATTTCGTAAAGGTGAATATTTACAGAACAACGTTATTTCCTTTTAATATATTACATTGCAAGGGGTATCTGTTTGTTCATGCAAGATTGATTTTCCAGAGAACGGAGTAACTTGGAGGATATTGGAAAAGTATGCATGATGCTGCGCATTGAGAGTTGTTGATATCTTAGCTGTATTAAAATTTGTGAAGACAACGTCAAACTTTCTCTCATTTGTCATAATTGTGTGTACGTATACTCATTTTCAGTTTAATGTATCGCATAGCATAAGATATTCTTCCTCGAAGAAAACGTTCTTTTTCTTTCTAATTTGCTCGTACATGTAGCGAAACTTACTTGTTATAATTTTAAATCTACATATATTTCGCTTTGAGCAGGCAGACATTACCTTTTAATGATATCGCCTGAAACAATAAACTTCAAGGCTTGGGACTTGTTATACTTACTGGTAAAATAGTATCGTACAAAACAGAATGTTCTTTGCAGGTTGCCGTAAAACTCTGTTTAACAATTTTCTTGAGAATTATCGTACATATTTTTTACTTTAAAACGTACCTTAGAAAATTGTCTTGAAACTTTTCTCAAAGTAACGTCAGAGCAAGAGAAATGGTCTTTTAATTTCAAAATGATTCTTTTTTATTTCGATTAGTCTTCATTCCATCGATACGAGGCAACAGGTAGGAATCGTATGAAGTTCTCATTTAACTTGCAGAGATCTAGAGTAGCGTTACATTTCTATCTCTCTGCAGTATTTCGATTTTGCACTTTTTGTAAAAATTGATCTGACAGATAGACACAATTTTACATTATATAACTCTTCCTTTCACGAAGGATGAAAATTATTTCTTTCAATAACGCGCTACCAAATTTTCACGTTTTACTCGTAACATTACTTTATACATATACGTTTTTCTTTTTTCCGATAAGGGCATAATTCACAAACACGACCCTGTCCTAGATTCTATTTTGTCGTTAAATTATTTCCACGATGGTTTTCTTGATAAATGTCTATTCTTTACTCATTCCGAATTTGTATTCTCGAAATGTCATTTTGAGACGTAGAAATACAATTTCTGGTTGAATAATACATATATTTCATGTCACATGCACCATCGATGACCGTCGCGACGCTAGTCGCTAGATTCAAACTCTCATTAGGCAAATATTACTGTTCGATCAATTCGATATGTTACTCCGCAGTAGCGTTACAAATTAGCGTTAAAAATTTACATAGTTCTTCATAGTAATATGGATATTTGTATTTTTGTAATATGTATGTATGTACTTTTTGGTTCTTTAAATACTTTTTTAAGAAAAAACTCGATTAGCTCGTATTCTTTCGTATAATTTGTAAACTGCAAGACTGGAATTTTAAGTTTCTGCAATGCTGCGATTAAGGTAGTAATTTCTTTCTCATAGCTTCTTGCATGACTTCGTAACGCAGAAGCAACGTTATTTGTATTTTCATAAATCAAGGTAAATTGACCCTACGACCTTATTGCGCAAATGTGTCTTAGCTATTACCATGCTGCAAAGTAGATAATTCGTAAATTATGAAAGTAGAATTAAGTATCACTAAAAGTTAGAGGTATCGGGTTGTTGCTTATATTACGGAGTAGCGTTTTTACCAGACATTACGAAATTGTAAGGATATATTATCCGACCCTTTTTAATATCAAAGCTTTCTTCCCAATTGCTGAATTTCAGACAAATGGAAGACAGAATAGAAATTAGTTCTTAAATTATATCGGACAAATTGACATTCTTCGAAGATAGAATGTGTTGATATTGACTGCATTCAAATATCGAAAAATTCATTTTCACACGTTCGTTTACGCGTGCATAAAACAAATAACGCGAGATATTAAATATCTAAATATATATCGAATAGTTATATCACTAACTTCTATTAATATTCACTCGACATAACGTCGTTTCTTTTATATTCCTTTCATTATTCACAGCGTACGAGTTTCGTGATGTGGTTAGGTATAAAGTTTATATCACGGGTTACTGCGTCTGGAGAACGCTAGGATTAAGTTATAAATAACGAAGTCGAGGAAAATCTTGGGATTCTTCGGCATGGCGGCAACGATAGAGAAGATGGCTTCTCTCGTAAAGAGTAAAACCCACGATTCTACCTACATTTTTAAATTTTGATCAGGATTGAGTCAGCACTATCTAAGAAGGTATTTAATCCCTTACGTGACCAGCCTGTAACTGTTACAGGGAAAATGACAAAATAACTGGAAGAGAAAATTCCGAGGTCAAATTTCTTGCTTCTTTCATACATGTATTTTGTAAATTCTTTAATAATTTTGTAAACTGATGTACACAATAGACTTTTATCGGAATCTACGAGATTAATAAATAACCGGAATTCATACCACTATAGTCCACATTCAGACAAGTGGATTCAATCGGCAGAAGTTCATTTAATCGGACATTAGCTAAAATTTCATTTCAATAAATGGAGTTCCATTGTGCACGCAGATATCGGTATGTCGTATCTCATCAAAAATATGTTAATGCAGTAGAGCCGTTTATCGATTAACGAAACGACAGATTATCGGAACATTAATCGATACAAAATTTGAAGACGACTCTCTGTAAGAAAAATAGGGAAAGAAGAATAGAATTTATCGCATTTTTGTTCAAGATTTCTTGTCTTTCTTTAAGCATACACGATTAGTTCGGACAATCAAGATTCCACCGTGTACTTTCCTAATCGAAAATATCAAACGAGTACTAGGAATTTCCAAAGGTTTTCACAATGCCCTAATAATTTTTCCAGCTCGTCCCGTTTTCGTCAAGCGTTCTAATACTCGTACGAAGACCAGTTTTAAAGGAAGAAAGATACGCACGATGCGATATCGCTACGATTACAGATACATAAGCAAAGGTGACCGCACTATGGGCAAAAAGGGAGGTCGTCGGAGCCACGGACGCCACTGCTGGCTGCGAAGGAAAGGGATGGCTGGTGGTGGAAGTGGCAAGCGACGGTATAGGAAGGGGTAGGGCTGAACGCATCCCTGCCAGACCGGCCACCTGCCTACCAACCCTGTCTGCTTCACGACGCTTCCCAGTATTCGAGCGATCGCTAGAACTCGCGCACGCAATTCCTTCGGCCGGGGATGTGCGTAGATCGCGCCATCGCATCGACACACATCGTACTACGGAACTACGTGCGACCTAACGTAGTGGCAACGTGCTCGAGGTGACGTGCCGTGTCTCCTGTAACCGTGTCCGTGTCCGTGTTCGTGCTCTTTGCCCCCGTGTTCGGTACACGCCACCCCCAAAATTTCGACCCAACTACGATACAGGATCGCGAGAAGTCACTGTCGCCGTCGTACGTCGCCTGTTCGTAACGCCACCGCTTGCCCGAGCTATGGATCCGCCGGAAGTCACTGTGCTGGTATCCTACGAGTGCCCCTAAAGGACACGATCCTTGTGCAATCGCGACGGATGTCGGAGATGCTACGAATTCTCAACTTCCTCGTCAGCAGGCCTTTTAACTTCGTATCGCAGGTTTCCACTGAAATCTTTCAGCTTCGATTTCGGTTTATGCGACACGATGCGACGTTTCCCATTTCTTTTTGCCATTTAATCACGCCGTCTTATTTGGAAGAGATGCCGGATGGAAGTTTGGATGATTCGAGGGGAGACTCGAAATCGCCAAGTTCGTAGAAGGTCAAAGATATAGGTTGTATCGTACTTGAAAATTACAATTCGAGGTGCATGTTGGGTATTTCGAGGATGATTAATGACCTTGTCGAAGTAGACTCCGTATAAACGGTATTTGTGGTCGTTTACATGAGAAAGCACGTTAACGTTTACCGGCTTTAATAGGTCAAACGAGGTGCCGTGCACTCTTTGCGCTTGACTTTCGCAGGCAACGTTGCTCGTTTCGATTCCCCGTCAGCGTTTCTCTTCTTAAAGATATTACCAACGATGCGAAAATTTGCAACTTTCGTCGAGTCGATCGTTGCACGTTAAAGAATTGCAATCGCTCGTTGTATGAGAAGAGTCGTTAGAGGCATTGCAGAAGATACGAAGATTTTCAACTTTCATCAAGTCGATCGTTACACGACGAGGAATTTTTATCGTTCATTGTATCGGAAGACTCGTTAAGGACGTTATAGATAGTACGAAAATTTGCCACTCTCGTCAAATCGATTATAGTAAGATAAGAAATTTTGGTCGTTCGTTATACCGGAAGACTTATCAAAGATACCGAAAGCTCTGCGAAAATCCGCAATTTTCTTCGGATCTGTTATTAAACGATTTCACGGAGATCTCGATCGGATAGAAAGAAAATCACTTTATTGGAATTACGTGTTTTGCCGCGTCTCGATTGACTTAGAAAGTATTTTTTAACCTAATCAAACTTTCGATGCAAGCATCAACCAACAAGAAACTAGTAATCAAAGCTTGCAGGATAAAGGGAGAAACACGTGCTAATCGCATTAACGAACTTCGCTAATACAGAAGTGACTGTTTACACGTACCTCGACGTTCAACCCCTGATCCTATTAAGCCGAGAAATAAAATCGTTTTCTCGTGATTTTGTCGTCTCTTCGACTGCGGTTAACGAAACCAACGAACCAAGTACTATTTGTTCGAACGATGCGATACGGTGCGAATAAGACTGGTAACGAGCGAACGTGGATAATTACCGTATTATCGAATGAATTTTTATCGTAGATTTCACAGTGATAATTCAGAGTGATAGCCTCCCTCGATCTTTGCTTCTTGACATCCGCCCCCTTCTCCTCTCCCAGTTTCGACAACATACTTGACACAAACACGGGCCACCGGTGTTTCACAGCGAACGCTGCCTGACATGGCTACGTGTTTCGACCAATCTTCGTTTCGCGCTTCACAAAGGAACGAGGTCATTAGGTACGCGAGAAACCAGGAAGGGTCGAGGGAAGTTGGTCACGCGAGAATAAGCTGCCGCAGCACTTTCGTCGGGGCCTTTCTTTTATTTCGGAAGGATGTCACCACGGTCAATCCT